TGTTGCTCCATAAGTCTAGTCAAGTTATTCCTTATGGTGGTTTGTTGTTGCACCACCCCGGTCAAAGTCTGAAGCACTTGAACCATTCCAATTGGATTGGGGATTGCAGCTTGTTCTTGTTGTCCCAACTCTTGCCCCTGATTTTCTCCAACTACTTGAGAACCACTACCATTATTAGTCACGTTCCCTCGCCGATTGCTATTACCAGTCCGCCGATTCATTTGACCCTGGCGTGTATTCCTAGTTATATTTGCCAATGTCTCCTCATGTTCCATTGCAACCTATATGCATCAATAATAAAACCTCATCTCATTCTATTCTCAAGCTCCTATAACATAAAAAATAAAATTAACATTATACCAATTTATAAGCGTTCCCAGTCCTACATCTACCCAAACTCACCATTGTTCTATACTAGCCTTTCAAATTATAACCTGGCTCTGATACCACAAAATTGTCACGGCCCAAGCTCCGTGACAACGCCACACACTCATATAAGTGAGTATGCAAGGCTAAGAATCCAACCACAAAACCCACAATGTAAAATACTCAAATTAAATCCTTGTCATAATGCCAAAATCCATAAAAATAAATAGTTCTTATATGAAAATGTCCACCAAGTCCACTAACTTAATCCACTAACAAAACAATAATCCAAGTACTTAAATCATGGTCCTACTCTTGGCACTCCCACATGTAAAAAATCCCGCGCAGCTCTACTCTTCAGAATCTGAAAAAAAAATAAGGCTAAGCTAGATAGCCCTGTAAATAACCAACCATCACTGCTAGCTAGATCAAGTATACAATAATAAATAAATAAATCAATAACCAATAAATATGATTTTTTCTACAGTTCAATAAACGAATAATTATTTGTAAGGTGGTTTCATAGTTAAAAATAAACAATGTGCAATACATTTTAAATGAAAAGCCAATGTGATAATTCAAAATAATTTGTTGTTTAAATTGATGGTTCAATATTCAGATGGTTCAATAATTTGATTCACAAAACCCAAGTCTTGGTGACTACGGTTATTTAGCCCGTGACAATGCCCAGAACCACACATAGGCCGGTGGTAAGCCCCAAAAGAAACTAGTTTCCGTGCCAATAAATAACCCCCATTGGCTAGGGTCCAAATCGTAGTCAGACTAGAGTGATGTTCAAAATTCAAACAATACACAAATTTTAAATAAAACATTCGATATTTTCAGAATAAACATTTGGTACAATTTTCAGAATAGTTTCACAAAATATTCAAATAACTTCCATAATAATATTCATTGTTGTTTTATACTTGACCCATATTTTATTTTAAGAGAACATGAATGCTATAAATAAATATTTATAATTTTAAACGATTCAATAGGAATAAAAGTGAACCAACAGTGATAGAAGGTTACTTACCTCAAACAGCTAAAATAATATATCCCAAGCTAATCTCAAATTACCAAGATCCACCTTAATCTCACAAACCTAATAAAATATTACACCGCATAAACAATTATTATGTGCACCCATCTTTCTCTTCTTGTAACAATAATAGAATAAATTAACCCAATTGCCTATTAGGAACTCCCACAATTTGGCATAAAAAAAAAGCCATCACGGCTTCGGAAATTCTCAACCCATATTATTCTATTGTTGTTTATATACATGTAAAAATTTGTAATTGCTTGAAGTCAATCTTGTATCTCACAAACACACCACCATTAAACCTAACCTATCACACATCAATATCAAAATATAAGCCACCTAAACGGAAAGAAAAATGTACTCTAAAATTGAGTGGAACCGAGACCCCCAACATAGACTACATCAATATATCTATTTAATCATATATGCCCATAAAATCATCTATTGATATATTAACACCAAAATCATAGATAAGAATACAATAAAATAAATCTTACCTAAGTGATGAATAAAACAAAACCACCACTCTTATGAATCCTCCCTCTTCCTTTTAGTTTAGGTCTCTCTTTTTTTTTCTTTTCTTTTTTTTTTCTTTTCTTCTACTCTTCAAACCGTTGAGCAGCAGTAGCCTCCAAATACCTAGCAGCACTTTTACAATAGCAGCACTTTTACAAGGCTCCATTTTCTTTCGTTTTTTCTTTCTTTTTTTTTAAAGGGTTGAAAACCTAATTCTTAAGATTACTAAATTACCCATACAATTTATTTAATTATTAATCTATCCAAAATAATTCTATAAATAACTTGGGTTTTACAGTCGCCTTCTGCTGCTGCCCTTCCTGCGACACCCCAAAACGACGTCGTTTTGGGGCCAAATTTCAATTAAAAAAGAAAAAAGAAAAAAGAAAACACACCCAAAAGAAAGAAAGAAGAGACAGAGACGGAAAGGGATCTTCTTTGGAGAGAAGGATTTGTTGGGTGTCTTCTAATCAATCCTCAAGGCTCTCATTGAAGCAGAGATCTTTCTATTCTTCTCATGGGCTTCATCAATCTCTATCTGGAGTCTCCTTTTTGCAAATCATACAAATTTGAATAACCCCAAAAACAACGATGAAAATTTTGTAAGAGAACAAAAAAATCAATCTTGTTTGGTTGCAGAGAAAATATAATGATAATAGATCAAATTAAAATTTTGGGTTTGAATTTCCCATATTGAGAGCAAACTCTCTTAGGTCCAATCAAATTTTTTTTTTTGAGTGTCTTAATTTTCAGAGACCAAAATAAGAAATATTTACTGCAAAGTTTCCCTTTTATTTAACTTGGATTTCTCCACATCCAAACACAGTGAACGAAAACATAAAATAGGGTTTTCAAATTCAAAAGAAGAGAGAGCGAGAGAAATGGGACAAACCTGTAGCTCGCAACCACCACACACCAAAATCTCTCCCTCCAGTGGCGAGGGTGGGGCAATGTCGAGGGTTTCGTGATGAGAGGGCAAGGGGTCTCGTTAAGATCGATTTTGAAGGCCTTGGGTCAGAAATTGGTATCGACTTTGGGTAAATCTGCGAACTCCCTCATCTCCTCTTCTTCTACCCCTTCTCTTTCTCCTTCTTCGAAGTGGCCAGATTGTGGCTTCCCATTAGGCCTGACAAGCCATTGTTGGTGTCTTCTCTTCTTCTTCTTCTTCTTCTTCCTCCTCCTCCTTTATTTCTCCTCATCTCTTTCTCTGCCTTCATTCTTCTCCATTCTTTCTTCTTCTCCATCTCTCGGCTTGTTTTCTTTCTTTCTTTTTTTAATTGAAATTTGGCCCACTACTACAAAAATAGTTAAAGATCACACTTTGACAAAAAAAAAAGATCTCACTTTTATTGGAAGTGTGATAAAAAAAATTATATTGATATTTTAATCACACTTAATTTGATTAAGTGTGATAATATTTATTTTTTATGTCACTTTTCAATTAAGTGTGATTATATATATATTTTTTAATCACACCTTATTTAAAAATTGTGATTAAAAAGTAGTAGTGTATATATAATCACACTTTAATTAAAAAGGTGCGTTAAAAAATATATATATAATCACACTTACTTAAAAAGTGTGATTAAAAAGTAGTAGTGTATATATAATCACACTTTAATTAGAATGTGTGATTAAAAAATATATATATAATCACACTTACTTAAAAAGTGTGATTAAAAAGTAGTAGTGTATATATAATCACACTTTAATTAGAATGTGTGATTAAAAAATATATATATAATCACACTTACTTAAAAAGTGTGATTAAAAAGTAGTAGTGTATATATAATCACACTTTAATTAGAATGTGTGATTAAAAAATATATATATAATCACACTTACTTAAAAAGTGTGATTAAAAAGTAGTAGTGTATATATAATCACACTTTAATTAGAATGTGTGATTAAAAAATATATATATAATCACACTTACTTAAAAAGTGTGATTAAAAAGTAGTAGTGTATATATAATCACACTTTAATTAGAATGTGTGATTAAAAAATATATATATAATCACACTTACTTAAAAAGTGTGATTAAAAAGTAGTAGTGTATATATAATCACACTTTAATTAGAATGTGTGATTAAAAAATATATATATAATCACACTTACTTAAAAAGTGTGATTAAAAAGTAGTAGTGTATATATAATCACACTTTAATTAGAATGTGTGATTAAAAAATATATATATAATCACACTTACTTAAAAAGTGTGATTAAAAAGTAGTAGTGTATATATAATCACACTTTAATTAGAATGTGTGATTAAAAAATATATATATAATCACACTTACTTAAAAAGTGTGATTAAAAAGTAGTAGTGTATATATAATCACACTTTAATTAGAATGTGTGATTAAAAAATATATATATAATCACACTTACTTAAAAAGTGTGATTAAAAAGTAGTAGTGTATATATAATCACACTTTAATTAGAATGTGTGATTAAAAAATATATATATAATCACACTTACTTAAAAAGTGTGATTAAAAAGTAGTAGTGTATATATAATCACACTTTAATTAGAATGTGTGATTAAAAAATATATATATAATCACACTTACTTAAAAAGTGTGATTAAAAAGTAGTAGTGTATATATAATCACACTTTAATTAGAATGTGTGATTAAAAAATATATATATAATCACACTTACTTAAAAAGTGTGATTAAAAAGTAGTAGTGTATATATAATCACACTTTAATTAGAATGTGTGATTAAAAAATATATATATAATCACACTTACTTAAAAAGTGTGATTAAAAAGTAGTAGTGTATATATAATCACACTTTAATTAGAATGTGTGATTAAAAAATATATATATAATCACACTTACTTAAAAAGTGTGATTAAAAAGTAGTAGTGTATATATAATCACACTTTAATTAGAAGGTGTGATTAAAAAATATATATATAATCACACTTAATTGAAAAGTGACATAAAAAATAAATATTATCACACCCAATCAAATTAAGTGTGATTAAAATATCAATATAATTTTTTTTATCACACTTCCAATAAAAGTGAGATCTTTTTTTTTGTCAAAGTGTGATCTTTAACTATTTTTGTAGTAGTGTTAATTGAGCAAGTTGGGGCACATAATGCCCGGCATAGCTCTCTCCGGTTATGAAGAAGTCTCTGGTTTTGTACTTTGGAAACCTTTCCAACCAGTTGACTAGAAAGGTATAGGAATCAGCTGCAGTTCTAGCATCGCCGCTTTTGTCATAATCTGATGTAGTATTTGAGTAAGAAAATCCCACACCGGCCGGTGACTCAAGGAAAAGTATATTCGCCGCTGCATTGCCAGAATGTCATAATTACGAATGATTGTCGCGTACTTTTTAAGAATTTGATTAATGGTTTGGAACAGAAACATGAGCATACTCACCATTGTTCCATGCATATTTGTTTTCTGATAGAGTTAATCCATCGCTGTTGACTCGAAATGGTCCGAGCTCCATCATTGCTCCATTGCCAAACGAAGAGCAGCCAGGTCCTAGGGAGCAAAATGATGATATAGTGAGAATGATGACAAAAAGAAATGGTAATGCAGATGTGCATTTGATACCGACTTAATCACGGTTTGATGGTAAAACGGTAATTTGAGAGATTTTTCAAACTTGTCGAACTTGAGGACCCTATTTGATTTGAAATAGCCAAACTAGCACAACTCACCGCTACGCTATGATTGGCTCTAGATTGCCAAAGTTGTTTATTTAAGCCTTTAAATGGCGATTATTGGTATTTAGTAGTAACTGAGGGATAAATGAGGGCAAATGAGACTAAAAAAAGGCGTCTCAGTTTACGGGACCCTTGTTATTACAGGTTCTAGGGAGAGTGAGATGACAAATAATAGAAACACGAGAATCACAAACTAGCAAGAAATCACCTCCATTTAACCACAGCACAAGAGGCTTGCTAGAAGAGTTCTGAGACTCCGCAAAATAGTAGAAGAGTGCTCTGCCAGCGTTGGGATCAACCCTAACATAGCCAGAGTACTGATCAAAGTTAATTCCATTAGGCTGCCCCGGCAAAGATAAAATCTTGTCTGCAGCTTTCAGTCCATCTTGAGGGCCTACATACACCGGTGAATACTCTGTGGCCGTGCTCTCAGTAACATAATTGACTTCCTGCTGTTTCGAAGATTGTTTTACTAAAATTTTCACGAGAGGGTCAAATCCAATTCCTCCATAACTATGGACTAAAGCAACAAGGTATGAATGAAAAAGCAGTAGAAGGATTGCGACTTTCTTCATTGATGCAAAACAGAACCAAATGTTGTTTGATCGATCCAATTATCATGCCTTTTATACAAACTTCTGTGACACATTTTGGAAGTTTTCTTGTTGGACTTTCAACCCCATTGACATTATCTATGCTTTGCACATCTTACAATGATTTTTGTTTGCTGAAACATGTTTTTCTTGTTTTTTTTCATTTTGGGTTTTTACCAAGATTCACAAATCACAAGATTTATTTTTAAAATTCTCTCTCTCCGTCCCCATATCGTGCCAAAATGAAGACAATAACAAGAGAGGTGAAGAGTTGGACAACGAAAGGATAACTAATAAGCCTGCTTTTTTGGTGAGGTTTAATGATTAAATGTTCTTCAACATCAAAAATGTATCAGAGTCTACTGAATTTTTAGCATCAAACTCAATCTTGTCACCAACATGGTAATCCACTCAGCTGAGATCCATAGCACAACGAAGAGCAAAGTTGATTGATGTGCTTCCATGGAAGATACAACATTATTTTAGAAATTGAACATTTTCTTCAATGGTGTCTCTGCTATAAAAGACTCACCCTTTTCAAACTGATAATCTCAAATTAGCCATCAATAAAATAGATTGACATATATTTAACTTGATTCGAAGCAACTTAATCTTACTTAACACGAATAATAGTAGTAGTTAACAGTCAAATTCACGTGCATTCCAACTTTAATTTCCTGCTAAAAACATCTTAAATAAGGCCAAAACTCTGCACGGCTGAATTATTGGAACTTGATGACCAGCGCCTAGAACTGTTGCGAAAGTCAATTCATCATATACCACTTTATATCCCGCTGCTTGAAACTGGCAAAAAAAATAAATTAAAATTAAAAATAAATAAATAAGTTTGAAATTGTGCTCAAACTAAATTAAAAGCATGGAAACATACTTCTCCATCATCGGTCCAAGGATGCCAAGGTTTTTAACACATCAATGGAATATTGAGTGCTAGTCACTGGAACAACTGCATCCACATCACCGCTGTCCATAATATGTTCACATATTCATAGAGTTAGAAATCAAATAATCAAAAAATTAGTGCATTTATGTTGTTCTTTAATTTAAGCTTAGCTTGGAATTTGGAAATGTGATATTACCTAGACAATTATTAACCTACTATGAAAAAAGAGCTGAATTACCTGTAAATAAGTATACGAAGGCCAGAGGCAATGAGACTTCTATATATCGGGAACATGGTTGATGGGCTATCATTCCAACCTTCAATCACATTGCTGAGAGAGAGAGAGAGAGAGAGTATCAATTCAATTGTTTTTTAATGTAGTACTTAATTATTGAATTTTAATGATCTTTATTGGTAACATGTGTTTTAAGTACACACACACAATTAGGGTAGTGTGTGAGATCAACCGAGGTACGATGTTGATGGTAAAAAGGCAAGTATTAATAAGTTTTTCTTTTTAATTAAATGAAAGGTTTACTTAATATCTA